TGAACAGTTTAACTCATTCCTGATCTTAAGCGTAGACTATCTGGAATTTCTTAGTCCCGTATTTGGCTGGGGAATTCTGGGAGTTGAAGTCCGGACATCTTCAAGTTGCCAAGGTTGAGAAACACTGGTCTATAATCATGTTGTTAATCCTATGGATTTCTACTCCAAATGGATAATCTTAGGACACTATGCATGAGTTAATGACAATTTCCGATTTGCATTTCTGATAGGACAAAAATGGTAGACAATCTCTATTAAACATTCTTTGAATTGTCCTAATCTATTACGCAAAAAAGAATTTAAATTTTGCTGATGTCATTTTAAGATCAAAGAAAACAAATACTCTTACAAGAACAGGACAAGCCTGTTATATCAGGGATAACATGAATTATTAACGCTAATTTCATCAAATGCCTTCATCTAATTATAAAAAGTGATTGCAGGGCTAATCCTAATCATTGCATTATAAGCTGAACCCACAGACATGGCTTTTTCCAGCTGACCTGATGGATGAGTTGGATAATGCATGTTTTATTGTTTCTACTGGTGTTTTATTTTGTTTTAATTTTCCTTAGTAAGCTACTGTGAATTTGAATTTGAATAATGTCCTATGGATGTAATAAATGAAAGGGCAATTCTCCATTCCCCACTTTCTCCATTTCCTGTTCCACATTTTGGGGGAATCTGGAAAAATATTGTGATGGGGAATCAAAAAGCTTGAATTAAGCAACAGCCCTAATTCATGATCCTCCCCTCATCTTTATGTGCTATCAATACTCCATAGAGCTCAGTGATTACTCTGTGATTTACTCTATTTTTCGGAGTATAAGATGCACCAAGATTTTGAAGAGGCAAATAAAAAAAAAATTGCACTATGCAGACCACCCGAAAACGGCCCGTTTGTTTTGCGAAAATGGTCTCTTTTTTTGTCCAAAAAGGGGGCATGCATAGCCTTTAGGAAGCTTGTAGAGTGCTTCTGAGGGCTGGGTGGCGGCAAAAAGGATTTAAAAACGGCCCATTTTTTGCTCAATTTTGTCCTCCCCAGCTCCCAGGAGCACTCTGGAAGCCTCCTAAAGGCTATGCAAGGCCATTTTTGCAAAGGGGGTGATGTTTTGGAAGGCAAAAAATGCTGTATTCAGTGTATAAAACACACCCAGATTTTCACCCTCTTTTTTGAGGGACAAGGGTGCATCTTATACTCCGAAAAATACATAGAATCATCTGATCTTGTTTGTCAGAAAGATAGTCATTCCAGATCCTTGTTTAGTGTTTAAATCCATCATCCTAAATTAGTAAATTTCCATGTTCATTTATTTTTTTAAAAAATGAATATCCATTTGCAGTAATTTTGTTTGTTCAGAAATAAAATGGAGAAAATTTTTCTTATTTGCAATTCAAATTTGTATTAATGTTAGGGATATGATTATTAATATTATTTTGGCCTACAGCATTGTGAGCAACAATAAATGTCAGCATGACAAATGAAACTCAGAAAGAAGGAAGAAAGAAAGGATAAAGAATATTCTAAGTGGCAATCCACTTACTTTGAGATGAATATTGCCTAATATGTTTTAAACCTGTGATTTTACTCCTACATTACTGTTTAATGTTGTTGATTCCTGATAAGAATTTGCTCTTCTTCACTTTAAAATATGTTAATGAGAGAAGATGTGATTCACAATTTCATTTTCTTTAAAGGTTCATCATTAAGCATAGTCTTAAATAATAATACGAGAGGGTCCGAAATGTAATCCATATTTACTATTATGTTAGTTATTTTTGAATTGTAAAGGATCTGGGAACAAGGCAGTATTATCACTAAAACAAAATAAATAATTAAGAGCTCATAAAAACTAAGGTAATTTTAAAAACCTTGAGACTCTTCCACTTACTACCACCAAAAAAACAGCAAGATAAATCTTGTACAGGGGTAGTCCTCAGAAGTCCTCAATTGGGACTTGAATTTCCTATGCTAAAGAAGTTGGTTGTAAATGATTTCACATTTGATAACCTTTTTGGCCATAATTGTTAAGCCAAATCACTGCAGATGTTAAGTGAATCACAAGGTCATTAAATGAATCCAGCTTCCCCCTTGCCTTTGCTTGTTGGAAGTTAGCTGGAAAAGTTATAAATGGTGATCATATAGCTCTGGGATGCTGCATCCATTGTAAATGCATGCTGCAACAGTTGTAAATGGAAGAACTGGTTCACCGACAAATCCGCGCTCGACAAAAGCGCGCCGAGAAAACCGCGAGGTCGAAATCGCGCCCACAGAAGCACACCGACATGTGCGCTGACAAAAGCGCGCCATCAACAAACAACGCGAAAACAACATAATAACCCTAAACCTAACCCTAACCCTTACCTTAACCCTAATCGCGCTTTTGTTGGCGCGGTTTTGTCGGCGCTGTTGTGGGAGTGCTTTCAACGTCGCGGTTTTCTCGCCGCGGTTTTGTCAAGCGCACATTTGACGGGTCACGTATAAATCACATTTTTTCCATTTCATTACAACTTTGAGCAGTCATTAAAAGAATGGTTGTAAGTTGAGGATTATCTTTATGTATGTGTGTATGTGTTTGCGTGTGGTGTAAATATAAGATATATAATAAAGTGTAAAGTATAAAAAATATAACATAAAAAGGTGGTAAAGTAGCAGAGTATAATGAAGGAAAATAAACAAAATACTATATTGTAATGGATGGTAGGTAGGTTGGCACAAATCCTTTTGGAAGAATCTCCCAAACTATAGATCTAAAACTTACTGTATTTTTCAGAGTATAAGACGCACCTAGCTTTTGGGAGGAAAACAAGGCGGGGGGAATCTGCCTCTGCCTCCCAGCAATTTGCCTCCTTGCACCACACAGCAAACAGTACGGAAGATATACACTGTTTGTGGTGTTACATTTCAGGCTTGTACAGATGCTGTTTAAATTGATGTGGCTTTCTGGAAGTATACATTATTCTCTGCTATTTAAAAGAAGATACAATAGCGCCGGGCCTCTTCAGATCAAGCATTTATTTTAAAAAGCTTCTTTGGGTGCGTCTTATACACCGAATGTAGCCCCACCCACCGGCCCCCACCCTTTGGCCTCTGCCTCCCAGAACTTGCCTCCTTGCAGCAAACAGCAAATTTCACTTTCAATTTCAGCAGCAGCAGCCTCCCAATGATCAGCTGTTTCAGGCTGCAAGGATTGCCATAGCCTATTGCCGGCTCTGCAAGTCCCATTTTCCCCATTTGCTACAAGGAGGGTAAATTGCTGGGAGGCAGAGGACAAAGGATGGGGGCCGGTGAGTGGGCCCACCGGTGGATGTATAAGATGCACCCAAATTTTCACCCTCTTTTAGGGTGGGGGAAGGTGCGTCTTATACTCCAAAAAATATGGTAACCTTAAATTGGTCAGAAGATCAGTGTCCCAGAAGTGCTACTTGAGAGCATTTCTGTCATTTTCTAATCCTAATGAGCAGAGACTCTCTAATAAGACACCCAATGAGTACATTTTGTCAATAGTTTTTTAAGCCTTCATTAAAACAGTCTCTATGGAGCAAAGAGTTCAACCTATATGAAATCATAAATCTTAAAAATTTCATATTTATTGGTAATGGTTGGCAGATAACAAGCTCTTTAGTGTTTATCTTTTATGTCCTATTTATTTATTTAAAATATACATCCATATTGTTTGTAGACAGTGTTGATTCTGGATACCATTCATATTAATCCAAATTATAGTAATAACATTGGTAATCTTTATATTCTATTTATTCAATCAGTTATAAACAAACATTTTACCTCCCAAAGACCGATAAGATCACACAGATTGGGCCTCCTCTGGGTACCATCAGCCGGTCAATGTCAGCTGGCGTCCCCCGGGGGAGGGCCTTCTCTGTTGTTGCCCCGGCTCTATGGAATGATCTTCCCGTAGAGATCCGGACCCTCACTACTCTTCCNGCCAGCCAAAAATGGGCTACGCAGGACCTCCACACAGCCCATTTTCAGCCAACAGAGTGCTGCAGAAGGACTGGATTGGACTGGATTACAATTATGTGGCCTCAAGTAAATGCCTGATCTGAAAAGAAAACAAGCAACATCCTATGTTAATAGTACAGTTTAATGCCAGATGTAACATAATGTAGATCCATTTATTCTACAATCAACAATCTATAATTGACAGCCATTTCTCTTCACTGTCCTGGAAATTTACCTCTGGTGTTAGATGTTGTATTACCATGTTATTTATGCTATTGTACTTTTATTATTAGTTGAATAATAAAAATACAATAGCCTGGAAAAGCAATTTACTATTGAACAGTAGGGTATAAATTTAGAAATAAAAAGTTAATTAGAATATGAAGAATAAGTAATAAATTTTTGCCAGTAATATCTGTTAGAAGAGATAGCAAAATGGTTATAGTAAAGAACTGTTGAAAGAAAGAAGGGGAAAAAATACATCTTGAGCCTGTGTCAAATGCCCGCCAAGGCCATTCCGCTCCTGGCCATGCCAGCCATGGCCACGCCCCCCCCCCCAGCCCTCTGAGGTAAAACACAACCCTGATGTGGCCCTCAATGAAATCAAGTTTGACACCCATTCTAGAACATGCTCCAGGATGGAAAAAATATTTTTTCAATAAGTCAGAAGGAAGCCAGAAATACTAGTTATTCTTCCCATCTATGTTTATTTCAAATTTTAGTGTTGAAATATCTATTTATGATCACCCACTTGTCATAATTTGGTCACATTTGCCCCAAATATAAGATTGCACCTATATCAGAATGGCTATAGTTGAAATTCTTATATCTGGTATTTCTGTACAATTGAGCTTTTTGAATTTCCTGTTAGCTCCGCTCTCAACTGGAGAAGTGTGGGAGCTAAGCTGATACTTAGTCATTTCTATAAGACTAGAGTAAGAACTGAAACCTTACAGAAACCTTCCATAATTTAGCAGGATAAGAATGTATAGAACTTCATACAAATATTTAATATTTCAATATTTAGACACTGTGCTGTGTCTAATTTGGCTTTAATTAAAACATAATGAATTTTATTTCATGAAAAACTAGATTGATTTGAAAGATTACACATCCTTCAAAACAGAATATCCAGATTGAAAAGCATAGCATATATTATCTTATCAAATTAGTAATTAAGAAATATTATATTGTAAATGAATAAATAAAGGGCTTTGATTCTTTAAAGGGTTTTAGAATTCTTCTGTTATATTAAGATTCCAAATATCACAAGATGACCAGAATATTCTATTAAACTGACAAAAAATAAATGGAACATAGTTTAAATATTCAATTGGACATAATTATGGTTTATTTAAATCTCTGTTCTAAGAAGAAATAATTTTGATATAGGTGGTATGAAAAATATTGTGTAGGGCATAATCCCACCCCCCAAAATGATAGGTAATATTGATAAAGTTATCTAATTAAGTACTTTAAGACATTCTATATAAAATAATGTAATAAGGAATTTGCAAAGATTCCATAAAAACATAAATCAAGTAAAACCACAGTAAGAAATATTATAGGCTAGGGACAAATTTAAATAAAGAAGTGCAATGAGTTGTCTTTAGCATGTTTTTTCCAAAAAAATCTCATATAAAAAAGAACATAACTTTTTTATAATCATTCTTCTGGTAAGTCAACTAAGATTTTCTGCTTGTGAAGTAAGGATATGAAACCTGGTATAACTGATAACTATTAACAGGAATCTCCAACCTTGGCAACTTTAAGACTTGTGGACTTCAAAGCCCAGAATTCCTCAGCTAGCAAAGCTGGCATTGAAGTCCACAAAACTTAAAGTTGTCAAGGTTGGAGACCCGTGATGTATAATACCACAAGTCAAATGACTGTTGAATAAACAAAAACCATCCAGAATTTTAATTCAAAGCCATTGCTTTCTTTGGAACGGGCATTCTCATTATTTAGAATATTGGTACAATAGTTCAATATAGCAAGATACATTTCATACATTCATTTCATAACAGCCTTCCACTTTTTGAGATGAAAACTGTTTCAAAACAGTATGTAAAAGCTATATGAAAAGTTTGTATCCTGGTAAATTATTCATCTTTCTGTTTTCTTCTTGCTTCAGTTTCTTCCACCCTCTACAGCAGCTTATGCAATTCACCAAAGCAAGCATTTTCCTCACTTCATTGTCTCTTGGATGATCTACATTCAGAAATAACCTGAAAACTTAAAATCCCCACTAATAAATATACATACAAATAAAACATGGTGGAATTTTAAAAATGACAGTGCGACATATGTCCTTTGAGGTCAAATATGCCTTTCCTAAGTTTAAGCAGTAGCCCAAACCCAGAACAGCTGAAGTACTTCTCTAAAGCAACCACAGATGGTGTCAAAACTGGACAAAATCCAGGGGCTGAACTGATGCTCTTGTCTTCGTCCTCCTTTACTTTGCCAGCCTTTGATCACTGTTCTTCTTACTTCCAGAAGCGCCTCTTCAATTTGATCTATAACAATACACACAACATATGATCTGAGTAACATAGCAGCATTCTGTGCTTGCAAATTACAAACAAACCCATTGCTTGTTTTTTTAATCCAATACTCCTCATGAAATATTTTCACAAAAGAGCATAATGTTAGCAAACCTCTTGCAACGAATTGCATAAGTAGTTTAAACTTTAGTGAAGACTCTCACTGCTTTCAACACGTCCCTATTACAATACTGTAAAGCACACAATCACCAACTGGCTTGGGTCTCATTGCTGAGAAGTCATGGATGGTTACATGCCAGTCACCAGAAAACTCTAATTATGCCTTTACAGAGAACATATTCGTAATTGCTGCTTTACATGAACAGGTTGCCATCCCAGATGAGACACTATTCATGTAAAAATGTACTGAATTAATTAACCTCTAATTCTTTCTACTCATTTTTCAGCCCTAAGGTTTTGGAGGAATTATTTGTAGGTGAAAAACATTCCAAGTAAAGATTTGGTATTGTATGAAGTGGGGGGAGGGGGGAAGAAATCACAAATAACATGGTCCCTCTCTTTTTTTACCCCAGAACCTGAATTCAAAAGGATCCATACTACACTCAGACCATAACAGAGCCTGCCCATCACGGTCATAATAGTCATAAATTGGATCACCCTCTGACTGACTTGATTTTACTACCTTTTTTGAAGCGGTTAACAGTACACCATGGTTTTAAAGCAAATATTGAAATATCTTTGCCAAAAACTGGAAGTAAATGCCATTTTTCAGCAAGAACATCATAAACCACAGTTACTTGCCCACAGGACATAGCAAATGGCCATAAATGTGAGCCAATTGCCAAGCACCCAAAATGCCATCATGTGACTATGTGGGTGGGTGGGAACCAATGGAACTAGGTTGAAAGTACCTTTTGGGTGGTTTGGTGTAACTCTGACTAGTCATTAAACAACTGGTCAAGGACTACCTGTACACAGCAAGAGGAACACAATTAGCTGATTAAGAACTGAATTACTCATTTAGTTCTAAACAGAAGAATCTGCAAGATAGTTATCCAATTTTCCAGCAGCTGTAGTCCTTGTAACTCCACACTTTTGCAGGGTTTGTAGGAAAAGATAAAAAGTCCATGTAGGGCCATTTCTTTCCCATACTCTATTGCACCACGTGTCTCTGCATATGTACTGAGTTTATGTAAGAAAGCCCCTACACGTGAAGATCACAGGAAAATTGATTCTGGTCTCTGGGGTCTCCCATTCCCCAGATGTCGGAAAAGCAGCAGCCGCACACAGCAAAGGGTGGGCGCTTCAGCAGAACAAAAGAAGGTTCAAGCTGCCTCCGCGTTTCACTTGTTTGTTTTGGGAGAAGTGCTCCTCCGACCTGGGGAGAGCTTGAAGGGGGGGAGGCGGGGGAGAGAACACCTCCCCTCGTACCCTACCCGGCCGAAGCCAAGTCCGGCGGCCCCGGGCACAAGACGGGAAGCGGGCGAAGCGAGTACCTGTCTGGGTAGCCCCGTCTAGGCGGAGTTGGAGGAGCTTCGGAGGCGGGTCCCGAGCTGCTGGACGAGGTGCTGTTGCTTCTGCCGGCTCGACTTGACGGCCAGGATGGCCTGCCGGTTTTTGTACTGCACAAGTTGCAGCGTGATCTCGGCGTTCCAGCCTTGGTCCTGCGGGCACCGAAAGTCGATCTCCTTCCCCTCGGCCATCACCACCGTGAAATACATATACTTGCCCTTCCGCTCCACGCAGTCCACCGTCTTCATGGTAGAGAAGGGCAATTGCTTGATCTTGGCGGCGGCCACCGCCGTCTCTCCGTGGGCAGCAGGAGGAGGAGAAGCCGCCGCCGCCGCCGGCTCCTGCTTGGGCGGGATAAGCAGAAGCCCTTCCTCGGTGAGGATGCAGCGCTTCTTCTTCCAGAGCTGCAGCAAACCGTCGCTGCGTTTCTCCAGCACGCCCTCCTTCACCGGCTTGCCGCCGCCGCTCTCCAGCATCCTCCCGCCGCCGCCAAAAACTTCCGAAAGGAGTGAAAAGAAGGCGCGCGCGAGCGGGATTCCCCGGGACGCGCCGGAAAGGCTTCGCCTTCTGCCGAACGACGGGCAGGTTCAGCCCAGGGGCTTAATCTGGTCCCGCCGCCGGTCTTTTCTCCGCACCGCTGGAGGAAGCGCCCTCCGTCCCCCTCCCGTTGTTTTTGAAAGCGGCTTTTTCATTTCAGCGACACCGGGGTTTCGGGGAGGGGGGAGGGGCGAAGGAAAGGCGGGGCGGCGCCTGCCGAAGAGGCTGGCCGAGGAAAGCCCGGCCGTTTCGTCCTCGCCTGCCCGTCTTCAGGGACGGAGGCGGAGGCTGATGGCTCGCTCTTCTCTCTTCTCCCTTCTCCCCTCGGAAGCCTGCAGAGGTTCCCGGTCGCAATAGCACCGAAGAACAAAGCCTGACTCCGGTGGCAGCCGAGCCTTTCCCGCTCCTGGAACTCAGGAGGTCCCTCCGGCCCGCTTGAAGCTGGATTGAAAGGCCACTTTTGAGCTGTCAGTGACAGCGGCAGGATGGCATCTTGGCATCCTTTCTGGATGCCGCAACAATTCGGGGGCAGGGATGCCTAGATCCAACAGGGAAAACCTCCTTCTCTCTCTCTCGTGTGTGTGTGTGTGTGTGTGTGTGTGTGTGTGTGTGTGTGTGTAATTATGAGAAATGCCTAATATGATAAAAACAAACCCAATGCTTGCATACTATTTGGATGTCATTCATACCAGCTAGAAAGCATCCGCTATATAGGATTCAAAACCTAACAGGAACATTCACTTCAATTTCTGTTACATACTAACAGCAAAGTTATTTCACTCATTAATAAATCACAGCATACATACAGCAGTATTACGCAGCATACACATAAGTAATTTCAGGGGAAAGAGACTTTGTCATTGATTATTGTTCAGAAGCCTACAACTGCAGAATGCTCAGCATTATTACCTTTGGTGCTAAAAAAATTCCCATTGTTAATGTAAGATAATGTTCCTAGTTCTTTAAATGAGACATGTACTTATTTTGTGCTTATTTTGCCTGAACGTCAAAAGAAAGCCCTAAGAAACAAAACTATATGTACATCAGTAGGATAAAATTACATTTCAGAGTGCTGATGTAAGAATCTCCAGGCCTTAAAATTTCCCTACTTGTTTCATCACTCTCAGCAACACCATCTTCCCTTGAAAATGGGCCCATTTTATATACTGATAGGTCATTCAGAAAAACTAATTAGATTGAAAATGCCATAGCTGAACAGCCATCTAGAGGGCATACATAATAAGGTTATATCAGTAGTGAATTAATCTGAGTGAATTATCTGGTCATTTTACACCCTAAAGCAGCTCAGAACCTGAAAGAACCTCTTCTTTCTTTTTCCAATTATTAATTCAATATCTAAAGCTTTCGTCCTATTCCAAGTATATGAAATATTTTGAGAAGGGTTTTTGGAAACACAACCTGTGGAGCTACCCTTTGCCAACATAAGTTCTAATAGTTGTAACAATAGCCCATGATTGAAATAGGAAAATATCCTTCTCAAAATCATCATAGGTTCTTAATGGATTTCCAAAGAAAAATGCAATTTCCAATAACTAAAGGTCCTAGAAATACCTAAGCGTGGCACGACATAACCGCGAACGTCAAAAGCGCGCCGACAACACCGCGGCGCTAAAACCGCGATGTCAAAAGCGCGCCGACAACACCGCGCCGACAGAAGCGCAATTTAACTTAAGGTAAGGTTTAGGGTTATGTTTAGGGTTATGTTTAGGGTAGGTTTAGCGTTAGGTTTAGGGTTAGGGTTATGTTACAGCGCGCTTCTGTCGGCGCGCTGTTGTCACGCTGTTTTGACGGTGCGGTTTTGTCACCGCGCTTTAGTCACACGCACTTTAGTCTACCGCGGTTTTGTGGTGGAACCATACCTAAGTGGTAGCTAGGCAGAAAAGCTGCTAAAAGAGAAATGTGGGTCATAGTACCATAATGGAGTACATAATTCAGAGAATTTTTTTTAGAATGAAGAAATCTTGAAGACAAGAAGTAAATATTGAGTTTGAAATAGAAATTGCATGCTCCAAGTAAGATACTTATTTTAGCAGCAGAATCCAGGACAATTATAATGCTGGGTTCAACAGATGTTCACAGAAAAAGCCAAGAAATAGTTAGACATGAGATTACTGGAGTTTGATTGTGAGTTTCTGTAAAGTAAAGGGCTATATTTTTGCTTTGTTGTGACAAGACTAACAGGGAGAAAAGGAAAGAAATCAAAGATAATACATTGCTACTTAAATATGGATGAAGGGATCTGTGTATTTGCTGTTTTATATATAGGAAAGGAAGCCATAAGAACATTGCTTGCTTTTAAGGAAAACTCCTATGTTTAAAATTATACATACCCAAACTGCCTGGAAACAGAATTGGGTACACTTCTCCAAATTTCCTTACAGACTTTATCTTTATTAATCCAAAAGCCTGGATTAATATGGTTTATATATAAAAGCCTTTTGATACTAGTTTTAATAACTTTTGGGAAATATAATTTAAAAAGCTTTGACTCATTTTTTTTGTACATGCTCACTTTTAATTCCATTTTACCATTTACTGTTTTCTTGAATTTATATGCCTATTCTTTCTGCACCCATTGTCTGCCCCTTTCCCCATGTAATTTTTTTGTGTTTTATGTTTTGGCATCCCATCATTAAAATTAGAAAGTATTAAAACCATCAAAGTCAGCAGCAACAAGAAGTAAGTTTCAATGTCAAGGCTAACTTGGGGTATGCTGCATCCTGCATCTCTTAGGTAATGTTGGGCCAATGTAAAAATAGAGTTCTCTGAATGTTAGAAGGGTTTGCTTTCTGAAGTGATAAAAAATTAGAGGCATTTTTCATTCTGCCTCATTCTACTCCACTCAAATAATTGCAATCCTGTTATCCTAGATGGGGTCTTGGCCCAAAGTCATTTAATGAATTTCTATGATGGAAGGTGAACTTGAACCTAGTTTTCCAGATATCAGTTCAGCATTTCATATTTGTTTCAAACATCTGGCAGTATCGCTGAAGAGACCAAGGATCTTTTAGCATACAATGAATAATGTGATCACAGACACAAACAAGGTCTACCTACCTACCTCCACAAGAATTCTTAATACTGTTTCCAGCCTGTTACAGCGTTGGGAAGTGATGAAACAGAATTTTCATTGTGAGGAAATGGAAAACTGCTGATACATCAGATAAATTATGTGCATAAAGTCTATGCCTGCAGTTTTATTTGCAAGATCATTAATAGTTTTGACAAATATACATGGAACAGTATTAGTTTTACCAGTTCTTCAACTCTATTGTATCATACATAGTATAGATAATTTTATATCAGGACATTGTAGCACATGTACGCCTCCTAGTGTCAAGCTTAACTGTGTGCACATTTGTGATTTGCTTAATGGGATGTACTGTCTCTTGAACTGCTTGCAACTAAGCCATGCAATTTTATAAATATTTCTTAGCAGTTTTTCCTTGAAGGTACAAGGAGTTTTAAGAAAACTATCAATATTCTAGTCAAATCTTAAATGGAATTTTAGGGTCATTTTTCTTATTCATACTCCACAATAAGATGAAATTGTAACTCAAGTCATTCAAATATGGCATTTCAAGCTATTTAAAAATATTTGAAATATTGCATGTCAACCAAAGGGAATAAAATGTAACTGAAATGTGATTTACTTTTTTTTTCCAAGTAGGCCTGGATTGATATCTCTGATTAGGCATCTTGGAACCACTTGTATACTATTGTATGCAAACCTTTATTGTTTTTGCATTTCAATCAATGCCTTTGGGAATGCAAGTTGATATGTATGAATTTTCCATGAATCTGAGAGTTTATGCATATTTTAAAAAATGAATACGGAGGTGCAAAATTCCTATCAGTACCCCATTTACTACTCTTCTTTGCAAAAGTAGTCTCAGAAATATTCTTTGGGCCCCTTGAATGAATTGCTTAAATTTCCTTGGATTTTGAACAATATTTTAATTTGGTGACTGTGACAATCATTCAAAGCCTTTCTCTCTCTTCTGTATTTCAGTTGATTTGAAGGCTATGTTTCAGATCACTGCCTCACTGAAATATCTTTTTTCAGCTTCTCTTTGACCAATGACGCTTAGATCTTCTGATGCAAATATAGCAGCTCCAAGGATTTTGTCAGATTCTGAGATTGTAACTGGGCAATGTTGTTATTGCTTACATCGGTAATTGAGAGTGGAAATCTTGAATTTACAGACAAACATGATTGGTCATTATTTCCTTGAATGTGCAATGATCTGATTATTCTGATTTCTGAACTGCTGAACAGAGCTATCATACTTAGAAAACTTAAAGCTCCACTGTAGGGCACCTGCCTTCTGGCCAGAGCATATTTCATTAAAAAAAAAATAGCACAAGCATCTCTATCACAAACACACAAACATTTTCAAGTTTATTGCTAAAGATAAAGTTTGCTATTTTTATTATTATTCCTCCTGTACGTGCCAGAATGCAAAGACATTTGTTTCCTCAATAATCTTAAATGTTCCACAGATGTATTAATAAAACATATCTCATTCTATGATCCCGTTATCTGAACCTGGATAATTTTTAAAGGCTTATGGTTTCTATAATTTCTTTCACAAGCCATGCTAACAGTTTCTAGATGATTTCTATCAATGGCATTGCAATCAAAACTACAAATTGGGATTTTAAAACTTCCAGAGCAACAAAAAATCCCAGAAGGTAACAAAATCCCCAAGAAAGGCAAATCATTATTAGGAACTACAGAACTGCATTATAGTGTTTTACATTGTTTCAACACTGTTGCCCCAAGTCATGTTTTTATTTGTACAATGTTGCCATTGTTATTGAGACTTACTTTAATCAACAACAATCTCCCAACCAGTTCTAAGTCAAATTTGGGCTATACAGATCGTCAGAGAAATAAAAACTAGGTGTTTTTTCTATCAGTTTGGATAGATTGTGAAATTGAGTGTGTATTTTAATAATTAACGGAGTATTATTTTATGAGGAACTATCCAATGCTTCTCCAGAAACAAAGGTCCTCTTGGAAT